ATATTAAGAACCTTTTCAAAAATTTGGTAGGCATGATGTGTCATTCTTTTGTATAAAATCTCAAGTTAACTTTTTGTGTTGATCTGATAAGCCTTTACGTTACTCGCACCACAAAACCAATATAATCCATTTTTCCGTTCACATGCTCCAATTAGTCCTCGAAATGTGGTCTTGCATTGCACAAAACCTATCCGTAAAATGCACTATACATTTNCATATTTCAGAAACCATATCTTCTTCATTCCCGAGCTAATTCCTTCAACCTCAAATCTCTCACTCGCGTCTTTACTTCACAAAACCACATCTCCATTTAATTTCTCTCATGCGAGCCAAGTCTTTCTCTCTCATGAAGGTACTGCTCTGAACCCTTGTTTCCCTCTCCACCTCATCTTTTCATCATTTTCCTCTAATTAAACCACTTTTCTACTGATTAAAACCCGTTCCACCGTGTGTTCTTCATTTTTCACCGATTGATTTTTATTTCTATCGTTTAAAACACCTTTTCACCAATTGATCTTCGATTTCCACCGATTGATCTTCGATTTCCACCGCTTGATCTTCGATTTCCACCGATCAATCTTCATTTTGAACCGATTAATCAGTTCATTTTAGGGTTTCTCCATCAACCTAGGGTTTTAGGGTTCTTCGAGTTGAATCCTCTCCGTTTTTGGAGTGTTTATTGTTTCCTAGGGTTTTCTCGAGTTCTCGTCATCATTTTCATCATTCTGCTGCTTATTACTCGTCGGAGGAAGCTTCGAAGGTGTTGCATCGCACCTTCGGTCACTTATCGGAGCCGTTCTTCCATCATGACTACTACCTATTATAATAAGCTGACTCATGGTATTTTCGTAATAAAGTAAAGGTTATTATGACGTACTTTGAGAGACCTAGGTGGACGTGTTGAAAATTGAAATTATGTTCAAAATTTATTATAGTAGATGTAAGAAAACATGTCATAATAGGTCTTATCACGACGGTTAATTCACTACCTATCATAATAAATTGGACGCGGTGACATTTTTGTAATAAAGTTCAAAACTTATTATGACAGATAGTAAACCACCTATCATAAAATATGAAAATCTCTAATTTCTTCCTCCCTTCACGTTCTTTTCATTTTCAAGCGTCCTCTTCACAAATATTTTCAACGCTCTCTTTTTTAGTTTATCTTTGTTTCTCTCATTGATGTTATGTTTCTCTTATCTTAGGTTCACGCTCTCCTCACATTGTCAAATTAAATTAAGATAATGGTTAAAATATATTAAAAAATTATTAAACAAAGTTAATCAAAATAATTAATTATGTAGACCAATATAAATTAATTACAATATTTATTATTATTTGATGTATTGGATTGATTTGAACAACATCAAAAATATCTTTTGCAAATACATTTTGAGTTCGTCTTTAAGAAGATGTAGACATGAGACATCTCAACTTGTTAGAAGAAGTTTTTACAAATTATATTCGATTCGGTAAAAAGAATTTTAATGAATGAGCTTATAATAACATAAAGCATTTAGCCCATTATTTTATCACAATTCTCAATTTTTTTTTAAGGCTTAACCTTTGCAAAATTGTTCAGTCTAGTAAAAATGACAATAAGATAATATTAAGATGGTAGAATCAAGGAAATAATTTACCAAAGTGTAGCCTTCTAATTCTTAGAACGAACTAAACTCCAATGAGCAAATGATATGCTCCCTCTTGCTTGTTAGGATTATGAGTCAAGACTTATAGGAAATCAAGTTGGGATATTACTTTTAAATAATGTGTAAACTATATTTTTTCAATTGAGTTTTTTACAATTTTTTTTATTGATGTATGTAATAATTATTTTTTAATTAACAAAATCAAAGTTATTTTCTTATATTAGTTCATTTGAATTTTTTTCCTAAGATAGGAAAACGTTTAGATAATATTAATTAGTATTGTAACTTAAATGGCGATGGGATATCAAAACAAAAAATAAGAATTAAAATTAAAATACTGATTTTGAAATTATTAATGTAGTTTATTCTGAAAAATTATAAAGTTAATGTCAATTAAAATCGAATTTTAAATTCAATAGTCAATTATATTTAAGAAATGTATTAACATCTTACCATCCAAAAATGATAACTTTAATTAAATATGTCAAATTTATGTAATTTTAAAAAATGTTTAATTTTATAAAAAATAGTAAGCAAAAATACTTCAAACAAACAAAATTATTTTTGACTTTTGGGCCATAAACCCTCATCCAACCTCTTCTCATTTTAAATGAGAAATCAATTTTTTTGGATAAATTTAGGGATGAAGATAACCTTTGAATTTTGTAATGGCAACTTTATGAATACTAATAATGACAACATTGTCCACATAAACTAACACGACTAGTTGTACAATTTTTTTTTTTTGAAAATGAACAAGGAGTGATTTGATTGAGAGTGTTGGAACACGTATTGATCGAGAGCATTTGAGAGTTTAGCAAACCAACACTAAGGAGCTTGACGAAGGTCATAAATGAACTTGTGGAGACGACACACCATACCAATCTGAGACACCAAGAATCCTGGAGGCCACGTACTTGTATCGTTTTGACTTGTTTCGTGTATTATCGTTCTATTAAAGCGATGAAATTCATTAAAGTCTATGACACAACTTTCTTATTGCTCAATAGGTATATTCACACATCTCGAGAACAATCATCAACCATGATTAGAAAGTAAGACACACCACAAAACGATTGAGTTTTGTATGGATCCCATAAATCACAATGTATTAAATAAAAAATGATAGGCACTTGATAATCACTTAAAAAAAATTTAATCCCACTTTGCTTCGATCTCTCACACACTTCACACATTCTATTTTTATCCTTATCACTATGCCCATTGAACATATTAAGAACCTTTTCAAAAATTTGGTAGGCATGATGTGTCATTCTTTTGTATAAAATCTCAAGTTAACTTTTTGTGTTGATCTGATAAGCCTTTACGTTACTCGCACCACAAAACCAATATAATCCATTTTTCCGTTCACATGCTCCAATTAGTCCTCGAAATGTGGTCTTGCAATGCACAAAAACTATCAGTAAAATGCACTATACATTTTGATTCATATATCAATTGTGATATTGAAATCAATTGCAATTTAACTTCAAAACATATAGAACATTTTCAAGCTTTAATCCTCCATCAAGGAAAATCGATCCTTCTTTGTTTGCCATCACTAATTCACCATTTGACAGTCCCATAGGGCATTTTACAAAGTTCGACTCTCCCACAAGTTATATAGTGTTACTGTCATATGGTTAGAGACACCACTGTCAATAATCCACAAGTCACATGGTTTCTTACCGATCATCCTTTCACTCGCATTTGCCTTGTGAGAATTCAACATGGCTGCCAAGATTTGCCACTACTCAATACTCAATCTCGCTACTTCTAGATTTCTGGTGTTTGGCTTCATGTCACTACTACATGTACTGGTATGTGCCATATTAACACGAGGTGTTCCTTCTCTTCCTTAGAAGAACCATGTCCTTTGTTGATTTCTTCTGCCACTTTTGTTTTCATTTTGTGGCCTTTCTCCCCACCAATTTGGATAACCAATGATCTCGAAGCAATTGTCCTTGTCATGTCCAATCCTTCCACAATGTGTGCATATAACTTCTTTTTCTTTTGCTTTTTGCGCAACTTGCTTTTAGTATCTGTTTTCACAGCCAGTCCCATGATCATTCCTTGCTTTCCTTTGGACCTAGTGATTGTTCTCACCCTTTCTTCTTGCACCATGGTGACATATACCCGATTTAATGAGGGTAATGGATTTGGTGCCAAAACATTTGACCGTGTTGTTTTATAGCTTTCATGATCTAGCTCCATCAATAATTGATGGACACTTTCTTCTTCTCTTCGTTTCTCAAGTTTGGTAACAATATTACACTTGCATCCACCACTTGTACACTGTGGTATTTGCTCATAATTTTCCAGTTCATCCCACAATATTTTTAGCTTCCCATAATAGGAAACCATTGTCATTCCTTGTTGTTTACATTCTGTCAATTTTGACTTTAGTTGTTGGATTCTTGGTCCATTCACAATCGATAATCGTTCCTTTATGTCATCCTATATGTCCTTTGCGTTTTCTATGTAGGCAATAGTGGAACACAAATTAGGTTCAATGGTGTTTAGTATCCAAGACACAAGCTTCCATTAAATTGTCCACCAATCTTCCATCTTGTATGCGTCTATTTTCGGTTTCGTATGAGTCTCATCTATGAAACCTCATTTTCTTCGAGCTCGCAAAAAGATCTTCACTGCCTTAGCCCATTCCTCATAGTTTTCTCCTTTTAGTTGCACCTAATGTAATCACATTTTCATGATTATCATTGACACTAAAATCGTAGGACGAGAATGTTTCTTTCACTTCCTCGATTTCAATATTCTCACGTTCCTCTGTCATTTCAACTATGTAGCTATGTTATATGTAGCTATGTTATGAGAGAACGAGATATCATAAATTTGACTCTTATAACATGTCAAATTATATGCAGATATTTCATTGATTATAATATGTTAATATATATAAGGAAAAGAAAATCAACTGAGAGTACCATTAAAGCTATAATCACGTGATTGGCATCCACAAACCACTATTTGTCCGCTAAAAACTGAGATACAATTATAATAGTAAAACATGAGACCTACATATAAGATTTTATCATAAGTTCATAATAATATTTGTCTGCTAAAAACTGAGATACAATTATAATAGTAAAACATGAGACCTACATATAAGATTTTATCATAAGTTCATAATAAAATATGTAAGATACTCATAACTATGTATTATTTGTAGGTAGGTTAGTATTCAACTGTTTAAAAAATATTGTGAGAATTAACTGTTGTTTTACTGGTTAAATTTAAGTGTACGAGTGTATAGCAACTAAACGTAAAAGATACCAACAACTTAACTGATCATCCTGCAAAGGCCAACCGAATGGATCCTCCGAGTGATTTAGGTTTAAATTACTTTTAATATCTTAACAGGCTGAACTCCTCAAACACAAGAAAAAGAAAAAAAAAATGAAAAAGAAAATAGTATAAGAAAATAACATCACGTCATTTGTGAGCGAAGACCCAATCGAACACCACCCAGACACAACAGAGGTGGGTGGGACAACAAATCGCGAAGAATTGTTAGTATAGTGTCTCACCCTCGCAGAAACCTCCATCAATTTCTACAAACTCAAACAACGAATCGTTCTCCATTGCTAACCTAAAAAATGGGTTGTTTCTTGAGCAAAAACGGTGATACCAAAGCCAACAGGATCGCACGTTGGCGAGCCACTGGAATTGTTGCTTTGCGCGATTCCAAATTAAAGGCAATCAATTCTCTCTTTATCGTGTCTAATTGATTTTTCCCAATTGTACTTTTTTTTTTCTTGTTTTTATTTATTTCTTTGTTAGTTGAGATCATGGGTGCATGCTGTGTTACATTTGAAACCTTGAAATGATGATAATGTTATGCTGTTGGCAAAGCCTCTACTGTTGACGTCTAAAGTTAATGACACTTACGTCACTGTTTATGATATTTTCTTCTTTTTACTGTGTTGTTTAAGCTTGGTACATTGAAATTTGAAACGATGAATGTTTAAGTTTTATGAGCTTTTTGTGTGTACTGGTTTGGTAGTGTCAGTTTGGAAACTTTGATTAGATAATCTGTTTAGTTGTTATTTGAATTGTATTGTTTACATTGTGAAGCTATTTGAGGCGTTTTTTTGGTATGAATTGATTTTCGGAAAAGTGATGTTATACTGTTGGTGATACTTGCGAGACTCGTCAAAACATTTGACAGAGGTCTGTTGCTTTTATTGAAAATTTGTGTGGACAATTTACTTTATCTCTTTTTGTGTATTTGTATTTGTATGCTTGCTCTTGTGTGTTTTTTCAGAACACGTTTACTTACAATGGAGCCTTTGCAAACAGACATTTCCAGATGAAATTATTAAGTTAGACACATCTGTTCGCACTCTTGACTTGACGCATAATCGAATAGATAAGTGGTTTTCCATTCTTCTATTATATTTACCTTACATTTTGGTTAAGATGTCATTCCTCTAAGTATATGGTAATTTTGACATGTAACAAAAGTGTGTTTTCTCTCTAAAAGGATTATTACTTTGTTGTTAACAATTCATTTTTTCCTCTGCAGTTGACATTCCTATGGAAATCAACAAGTTAATTAATATACAACGCATGGTAAGAACCAACTATTACTTTATGCAGCTATGCCAGATGCGATGGTAGCTTCTGTTGAGCATTTACTATAAACGTTTTTGGACTAAGATATTTTTTATGGATTTTTCTGTCGTTTTTAAATAAATTAATAGGGTCAGTAAATTAAATAGGTTGTAAGAGAATTTGACATGATATTTTGTGGCCTTCTTTTCTCAATACTGGTATTACCAATTCGTTTTTTTTTTCAGGCTTTAGCAAGTACTGACAAATGATGTGTTAAAAAATGGATAGTAGAAATCTATGGTTGAGTTATAATATATATATATATATATATATATATATATATATATATATATACACAACTACACACACACACACTATTTCTTGTCATTTCTTAATTACAAAACCTAGTAAAAACTAAACACTATAATTATCTCTTGACTTTCTAATGGGTAGAACCTTAACAAGTTGCATATGTGCTTGTTTTACACCACTTATTGGACTTATAAACTAAAGGGACAAATAAAAATTATTAAGACCAAGTCAGACTGAAGTTTGTCTTCATTTCCACAACTCTGCATTGAACCCTGTCATTTTTTTTTTATTTCCCTTTGCAAGTACGGTTACTATTTAATTATTAAATTTTAATTTTTTTCTTTCACTTTGAAACTCATTTTCTTTTGACTATGTGTTAGGACTCTGCTATCTTTCATTTATTTTTACCATAGTAGTATTTGGGTAGCCACTTCTTTAATGTTTAAAAATAGGTAGAGTTATATAATAGAAAAGATTGATTAAAATACCATTTAATTGAAGTTGCATTGACATCACAGGTATTAGCGGAGAACTTAATTGAGAGACTGCCAGTGAGTTTAGGCAAACTCCAATCTTTGAAACTGTTTGAATCTGGATGGAAATCGAATTACTTTCCTTACCTGATGAATGTATCTTTAAGTAACTATTTAAAGGTAAAATATCGTTATTATTTCTTCTTTGTTTTTTGTATTAATTCAATGTATTTTTTCTCTAGTGGACCAGTTAGTAAGGCTTGAACGCTTATCTGTCTCAAGGAATTTATTAGCATCCTTGCCAATGACTATTGGAAGTTTGAGAAATGTAATACATCTCGTAACCTAAATATCATTCAACTTTTTATGTTTTCTTCTTTTCCACGTGCTTAATGCATTTATACCTAGATATGATTATTTGCTTCATGATCATTCAATTTTGAAAATTTGCAATTATCCTTTGAGTGTAGACATTTCAAAAAGGGTAGTTTCTCGACTTCCTACTGTATACATTTTAAGAAACAATGTTTTTGTCATA